CACCTAATGTAGGGGCCTTAATAAGTAGAATAGGGTTTTGGGTGATATTATACTATAGCTATAGTAAGGAGCCCCCAAAATAATCTAGGTAATGATTCAGGCCCCTGTATTACTTGTATGATAAGGTCTTCCGGGATTGACCAACGTCGACCCCCTGGAGGTCCAATTTTCCGGCTCGGCCAGCTGAGTCAGCCTCGCAGTCGCTGACGGAGGCGAACCTGAGTTTAGGGTTTAGGGTTTAGGGTCTATATGGTCTAGGGTCTAGGGTTTAGGGTTTAGGGTCTAGGGTCTATTTAAGGTCTAGGGTTTAGGGTTCTTTAGGGTTTAGGGGCTAAAGTCTCCGGGCCTATAAGAACCCTAAACCCCAAACCCTAAACCCCGCGTCCGGTTCCATGCATCCACCGGGCTGCGTTAACCAGGGTGGGTTCCGCCGAACTCAGATTTTGCTTGGTTCGCCCCCCTCCTGCTAAAGGGAGCAGCCGCAAATTTCGCAGGAAGACACTACAAAGCTGCAGCCCTGGCCTCACGAAGCACGTACACCTCTGCCGCAATCTCCGCATTGCTTCTGCCCGACCGATGCATCTTGGCCGCCTTATGAGGTGGCATTGTTATCTTTGCCGTCACATTGGGGAGGATCTTGCTCCTGCTCCAGCTCCTGCTGCGGCTCTTGCTCCCGCTGTGGCTCTTGCTCCTGCTCCGGTCGGGGTTCTTGCTCTTCCTCCTGCTCTTGCTGTTGCTCCTGCTTTTGCTCTTACAGTACACCCCACTATATCTGTATGGGTTTTAAGTGGCGGAGATGGTTTCAGCGGGGCTCCGCTTCCGGATCCCAAACCTGCACGTGCCTTAACTTATGAGGACTCACGCATCCCTCTTGGACCCACGTGCTTGGACACTTCTGCCTTGGACCACTTCTGCCTGCCGCATGATCTGGTAGAGCTTCTTCGCCTTCGTTAGCTACTCCGCCTGCTGCACCTGCAGCTCCTCCTACTGCGCCTGCACGGAACCCCGGAAGTGTTGCGTGTTAATGTAGGGGCATGAATAATTATCTATAATATTTTGGGGGTTCCTTACTGTAATGATAGTATAATGGGCCCCAAAACCCTGTTCTAATTATTAAGGCCCCAAATTGCCTCCTCACGCGGAAACAGACCCTCTGTCAGAGCCTATAGCCTCCTCGGGAACTCCGGCATGCGAAAGCACCCAGCTTCATGAGCCCCCCTCGTTGTGGAAAGCCGTCCTATGCCGTGTGATCGAAACCACGATCCACGAAGCATCGAGAAAAAACAGCCCAGTCACATGGACCCTAAACCCTAAACCCTGAACCCTGAACCCTGAACCCTAAACCCTTAAACTCTAAACCCTAACTAAACCCTGAACCCTGAACCCTAAACCCTAAATCCTGAATCCTTAAACCCTTAAGCCCTTAAACCCTAGGGCCTAAACCTGCTCCAGGCCTGCAGCGATTCCATGGCAGACAAAGCCGCTCCCATCTCCTGACTCCCAGGCTCCGGCTCCGAAATCTCAGACGACAAGCCGAGCAGGACCCTCCTTATTTAGGGTTTAGGGTTTAGGGGTTACGGTGTAAGGTTTAAGATTTAGGGTTTTGGGTTTAGGGCTTTATACCCTCAAATAGGATTCAAAATTAAGAGTTTTTTGGGGGTCTAATCGAGGGTAGATGGAGGGTCTAGGGAAGCCCCTGTTTTTGTCACTGCTTGCTATTATTATGCCATTCTTATTGTTTAGTCTTATTCCTAGTCTTGTTCTTATTCCTACTTAAAGAGTGCTCAGAGCGCCTTTTCGGTGACAGCCTCTTGATGATCCCACGGCGACCCATACACCTCGGAACGAACGCGGCGTGAGGCGGAGGGACTGAAATTAAGCTAGGGTCGGGAAGGGTGTTCAAGAGCGGCTTGAGGAAATACATTGGCATCAGGCTTCTAGGCTTGGGCAGGAAAATCAGGAAACCACATCGGCATGGAACAGAAAGCTCGCCTTTCGTAGAGAGGATCTCTTGAAACCTTCTCGCTCGTTGCCGGCTCTATTCCTCTGCTGAAAGCTCAGCTTCGCAAGCCAAATCCCAAACACCTTGAGCCCCCGGCTGCATCTTTGCATTAAAGCAGAAGGCACCCCAACGACGCACTACAATTCTAGCCCTGGCCCCTGGCCTGTCCAACATCCGCTGAAAGAACCCGTCCCAAATCTGCTGATGGACCCCACCACACCGCGTCAGCCTTTAAAGAACCTCCCAGGTCTAAAGCACTTGAAGCCCTGTGCCGAGAACCCGGCCCGGGTGCCGTCCGCATGAGCCAGTGTGGCCAGCAAAACCAGCCCAGCCACCTTAATTACCAATTTGTTGGGTTTGGCTTTGGTGTGTGTGGGTGTGTGTGTGTGTGTGTGTGTGTGTGTGTGTCTGTGTGTGTGTGTGTGTGTGTGTGTGCGTGCGTGTGTGCGTGCGTGCGTGCGTGCGTG